AGTATGGTTTTTCAGTATAAATATAAACTACTTTATGGATGTATGCCTAAGTGTGTGCATGTGTGTGCATTCATTTATGCACGGTCATATACACAAACAACTTAAGGCCAAGCAATTTGAATTTAAGTAACACTTCTCAATTATCTGGATACAAGAAAAAGTAAAAAATATTCCGACACAACTTTTATAATTGCTTGAGTTTGCATTTTAACCATGTGTAGACTACTTTAAAACAATTTTTTTTTCAAAAAAACTTTGGTAGCTTTTAAATAAATAAATACAGTCATTGTTTGTATTCCACATTAATAGCTGTTAATTATGTATTCCATTAAGAGCCAGTCTCAAAAATAAATAAATAAATAAATAAATAAATAAATAAATAAATAGCTGTCAGTCCTGACAGGTATTTCTCAGTGGTTTGAGCACTGGCTTGCATACAGGGAGGGTTGTGGGTTTGATTTCCAGTCAAGGGCACATACCTGGGTTACAGGTCTGGTACCCTTCTTCAGAAGAGGTACATGTGGGAGGCAACCAATCAATGTGTCTGTTTCACATCAATGTTTTTCTCTCTACCCTTCACTTCTCCCTTCCACTCTCTCAAAAAATCAATGGGGCCAAAACCGGTTTGGCTCAGTAGATAGAGCCTCAGCTTGCAGACTGAAAGGTCCCAGGTTCGATTCCAGTCAAGGGCATGTACTTTGGTTATGGGCACATCCCCAGTAGGAGGTGTGCAGGAGGCAGCAGATCGATGTTTCTCTCTCATTGATGTTTCTAACTCTCTATTTCTCTCCCTTCCTCTCTGTAAAAGATCAATAAAATAAATTTTTTTTAAATCAATGAGGGGGGAAAATATACTCAACTGTTGGGTGAGGATATTTTTTAAAAAGTAAGCTATCAAAAATAAGTGTGGGATGATGGCAATTACATGAAATTTAAGAAAGAACAATAACTTCTAGCAGTTGCCTTGCTCCATGCTAGTTACTACTAAGTGCATTGCTTTGAAGCAAATATTTTATGGGGGAAAATATATGATATGGGTTTGATATCAATGTTAAATTTTGACTGATAAGTATTTTGTTTTTCAAATAGAAAATCTAGGCTAAGCAAGAATTATCAACAAAAAGGTAGGTATTTCTGTTAGATGACATATACAGGAAATTAAACATTATACGGCTAGAATCTATTTTACATAAAATAACTAGGCTTGTAGTAAATGGACTTGCGTATGCCCAATTACTTCCTTTTACAAGAGACCTGAGATTTCACAGCAGACTCAAGATCACTCTGATGGGAAATGTGCAAATATGGAGAAAAGGGAAAACACCCTATGGAGCAATTAAGATGTAATGGAAGCTACAATTTGAGATATTTTATACTATATATTAAATGATATTAATTTGTTATTTCTATAACAGCTCTTCCCTGGGTTTCTCCAGGCTATCTTAAGATATTTGAAAGAAAAATTAAATTTGTTCTGTATTTTCCCAAATTGTACATTGAATAGATATGAGATACTGAGATATAGATGTTAGTGCAATTTAAGAGAATACTTGCAACAATTCCAGAAAATCCTGCAATTGAAAATTGAGAAATAGTTATCCTTAATAAAACTTAAGAGTAATAGAAAAAGAAATCATCAAATTTCAGTTAAAATATATAGTTGAAGCACAAAGTTCAAATGTCTAATCCATACAATAGTATTTTTCATACAATAGAATGAAAAATAATGTTTCTAGTAAAGGGGAATGAGAACTGGGCTGCTCTTTGACTAATTCTAGAGGAAAAGTCATACGGCCAGTCTATCTGTTGTACATTTAAGTTCTAGCTGATTAATGGAATATATTGAGGTTTTTTTTAATTTATTTTTTATTTTTTATTGATTATGAGGGTTTTTTAAATGTTGTTATTAAAGTATTCATAAAATTGTTTTGTTTTTAAAATCACCCAGGTCATTTTAGATGATATTATTATTATCTTAGTCAGTCCAGGCTCCGATAACAAAATACCATGAACTGAGTGGCTTAAAAGCCACAGAAACTTATATCTCAAGTCTAGAGCCTGGGAGTCTGACATCCTGGTGCTCACACCGTCCAATTCTGAAATGGACTCTCTCCTGGGTTGTGGACTGCTCTCTTCTCATTTACCCTCAGTGGAAAGGGAGCTGGAGAGTTTTCTGGAGTTTCCTTTATAAGGGAAATACTTTCATTCATGAAATCTCTATCTTCATGACCTAATTACCTTCCAAAGACCCCCATCTCCTAATGCCATCATATTGGAAGTCAGAATTTCAACTTATATATTTGGGGGGACACAAATATTGAGTGCATAGCTTTCATTTTAAAATATGCTAATTATGTGTTAATTAAGTTAAAATATTATATATGTAATTACATACATAAGAGGAAGGGAGTCCACTGTGCTTTAGGGAGAAAACAGGCCCACCCTCAGCGACCTTATTCTGGAGTATATAAAGCTGGGGAGGTAAATAAAACATATAAGGTAGGAAGCATGCACAGAAAAGATGACAATCAACATCCCAAAGATCTTGTGAGATTTGAACTGTGAATTGCATCTAACAAGACATATTTTTAACATTAAAAACCCTATACTGCTGTACTAAGATCCCAAAATAACCACAAATGTATAGGCAAACTCTATCAACAGAGCCAAATATCAACAGTACTATGATTGAAGTTTCTTTTGAGAGCCAATTTTTTTTAACTTAAACTTCTTCTAACACCACTTCTTCAAAATAGACTCGCCCAGGCCATGGTATTTTGTGGAAGAGCCACACTCAAGGGGCCAAAGAGCCGCACACGGCTCAAGAGCCACCGTTTATAGACCATGGGTATAGGAGAAGAAAAACATGGCTCTTCAGGTATAAGAAGCAAGCTCCTGTATTCAAAAACAATTGCATCTACCATTTTAAACTTCAACACCTTGTCCAGAGTAGATCAGTAATTGTCAAACTGACTCAGATCATGTTTAGGGAATTTTGCCAATACTCACCCTAAGGAGAGTTAAAAGAGCATTGTGGCTTTAAAAAGGGGAAGGAGGAAATGGGACCTTCCAATAACTGTATTGGTAGAAAGAGGAAGTTTATAACCCTTCTCAGTTTTTATTGGCCAGGCCAAACTTAGGGCACTATTCTTAGCTTTGGAGCTGTACTTTAGGAGCAGAGACAAAGCTATTGAAAGAACCCAAAACTACATCATATAAGAAACAGCTAAGGAAGCTAATGTTTAACTTGTGGAAGAAACCATTTTGTTCTTTTCAAATACAATAAAATCCTATAATAGTAACAGTTAATCATTTATTTAAAAGCTACTGTGTCAATGTGTATATCAGTTAATCCTGCTAACAGATATTTGAGGTATCAATATATTTTTTTTACTGATAAGAAAACCATCATCCAGTGAGATAAATAAACATCCCTCAACTTGAATAGCTAAAAAGTGACAAATCTTAGATTCACAAATGATTTGACTACAAGGCCAGGGCTATTTATGTTATACCCATTTATTGTTCACATGATGTAAGCTTAGGCTGGTTAAGTGTGTCCTCAAAAGACTAGATAATGGCAGACAGATTTCAGCTCAATGTGAGTGAAATTATATTAGTTCATAGGGCAAAGTGTGGTAAGGTATTTTTATTAGTTTCTAGAAGCTCTCTATAAACTTTTGTTGCTGAAATAAATAAAAAAAATGCCCTTTAATATAAAAGGATTTTGTTGCTGAAATGAAAAAAATGCCCTTTAATATAAAAGGATAAAAAAAAAGTGGTGCACATTGGTAAAATAGCCTACAATAAGCAGAGTTTACCAATGAGTTGTCTGTTTTCAAGAAAATGATAAAAGTGATAATAGAATTAAATATTCTTTCCAAGCTTCTTAACCCACCACACTTGCTGCTTCCTAAGAGTGTGACTTTCTACAACCAATTGGGAGTAAGTTGTAGCATTTAGTGCCAATACTTGTTGTTCAAATATATATATATGTATATTTTATGTATATTGTATAAATATGAGAATAACCTTAGAATTAGTATGAACTTTACAAAAAAAGCAACATATCCCTGATTGATTTACAATCTATTTCTAAGATAGAAATGTCTATGGACTTGGAATGAGGTATCACATGATAAGATGTATCAGTATTCCTCAGCCAGGTGTGGGCCACTCCAGTTAAGATATCTCTGAGGTTCCTCCTGGAATCTCTACACAAGAAAACAGACTGAGTGAACTCAAATGCTGTTTGGCTTTGACACGGTTCTCCTGAGAAGCACATGTCCAGACAGGAGGTCTGGAGATAAAATGGATAATGAATAATTCCATACAGGCCTATGAGATTTAGAACGTGGAGGATAAACATTATTTTTGGTTGACTTTCCTGGATGCCACAACCAACCCACTGATTTCTGTAACCAGTCCTGATGCCTCTTCCCAACCAGACATAAACCAGATGCAACCAGAGCTTCTACTCTAGGAGAAACCCAGGCACTAAAGAGGAAACGTCATAGGTTTCCTTCACCAGAGTTTCTATGTTTCTCATTTCTTTTTCGGAGAAAGAACCTCTCCCGCTTCAGGCAGGTTGGAAGGGCTGGAAATTCTCGTGTGGTGATGTGAAAAACAGTTACCTGTGCATGAGTGTGCAGGAAGGAAGACTAAAGAAGAGGGATTTGTGTCCCCTGCACCCAAATGATTGCCATAGACAGTAGGGACCGAAACCGCTGGGAACTAAGGGTGGCTCCAGTTGCCTGAGGCCAATGCCTTCTCTGTGATCCTGTACAGAGAAACCTACGCTGGGGAAACAGAAAGTCAGCCCCCTTTCTTAAGCTTTCCTGCTGACAGGAGCTAACTCTCCTTCTGCCTCCTGCTCCACGCCTTCCTTCCAACTCCCTTCTCTGTTCCGCCCCTCCTAAGAGGTGTTGCCCAGATGAGTGCCGAGTGGGGAGAACAACTCCTTGGATCGCTTGTGCGCAAAATCCACCCCTCTTTTCTCCTCCAGCCTCTGGATCCCGCACTGCCCTCCCTCCTTCCTTCCCTCCTCCCTCCAGCGGTGAGGGGCTGGGGACTAGTCTCTGTGCAATTAGGTGGGAGAGGGCTGCAAGAAGAGGAGAGCGTCAGATGCTCGGTTCTCCCCTTGTGCCTGACGCTCCTGCCTGGATTCGCAGGGGCTGGACTCTGGGAAAAACCACAGGAGCCCTGGCAGCCGCTGGAGGAAGCCGCTGAAGCGTGCACCCATCCTGAAAAGTCCCTGTGCTGGAGGGTTAAGCTCCCAGTGCGGTCCCCGCCGGCCGTCAGCACCATGGACAGCGGCACCGTCCCCAGGACCCCCGCCGCCGCAGCCAACTGCTCCGATTCCTACGCGCACTCTGCAAGTTGCGCCCCAGCACCGAACCCCGGGTCCTGGGTCAACTTCTCACACATGGATGGCAACCTGTCCGACCCGTGCGGCCCGAACCGCACGGCGCTGAGCGGGAGTGACAGCCTGTGCCCTCCGACCAGCAGCCCTTCCACGGTCACGGCCGTCACCATCATGGTCCTCTACTCCGTGGTGTGCGTGGTGGGTCTCTTCGGGAACTTCCTGGTCATGTATGTGATTGTCAGGTAAGAAAGGCGTCCGAGCTCCGCTAACGGGGGGCAGAAGGGGACACCTGAGCCCCAAGGTAGAGTGTTTGGTGTGAAGATGAGAAAAGGGAGGTCCACAGGGGAGAATGTGGGGCAACAGATTGGTGGTGGTTGGAGGGCAAAAATCCTACATTTCTGTTTCTCCTCCCCCCCCCCCACCCCCCACTGGTAATAAAGAAACATCCAACATTTCAGAAACAAGGAAGTTGCTTTGGTGAAAGCTGGGAAGCTCTGGCCAAAAGTGAATAAATAAATAAAAGTAAAAATTAAAAAAAAAATAGCTTGGAGCTCACCTCATCTGGGCACACCCTCCCAGTTTCTTTGGCAGAAGCTCTTGGAACAGGGATGTGTGAATAATGGAAACAGAATTCTGGTGTATTTCCTCTAAGTAGGGGGCCAGGTCTCCTTCTCAGCCCTTTCCAGAGCTGAACCTTGGCAACTTCCCTGCTCATGCTGGGTCCTTACAGCCTGCCTGCTGCACCGCATCCCCACCCTGCCTCCCTCCTCAGAGCAGCCCTTTCCCCACTCCTGCTCCCCTGCGGCCACACTCAGAGAGGAAGTTTGCTGTGTCTCTCCACAGTGTTGCTTTGCTGTAACACACATGACAGTTGTGTTGCCAGGTTTCCGTGGGCAGCTGCGGATCTGGATCTGCCAGGGGCTGATTCAGTCAGAACTGATCTGGGTTCAGGAAAAGTGCAGGGTGGGTCTGTTTCCGGGCCTCCAAAGGGCTAAGGCAGCACAAAGCTGGATTATAAACTACTACCTAGAATGTTGTGATGGTGTGCTCTTCAGAAAAGAGGAGTGGTTTCATCCAGGGATAGTATTTCGAAAGAGTTTGAGGTCCGCTTTCTGTTTCCCAGGTGCTCCCGGCTGAGTTGGCACAGAGTGTGCCAGCTCTCAAGATGAACTGAGATCGGGGCTGATGGCATTAGTGTCGATGCATGTGTTCAAGCCGTGCATGCTAATATGGGATGCTATAGAGTCACTTTGGTGAAAGTAGGTCATTTTAATGCCTTAAAATGGTTCCCGATTTAAGATGTTCTTCCTACTCAGGGTTCTATGTGCTCTATGTGTGTAGTGAACATGGAATTTTTGTGTTTGGCTACAATATTTGCTTCATCTACTCAGCAAATACTGCAGGTTCCCGCAGGCCTCGCTTATCGCTTGACAGTTTATTTTCCCCATTATGCTTTCATTATCTAGGTACTGCGTGTTGCTTGTACTGGAGTCTTTCTACTTAGAGGGCTGATTTCTTTAATTAATGATTATTAAAGAGAGATACTAATTTCCCTGATCTTTTAGGGAATAAGTAGCGTCTCTGAGAAAACAGCACCATCTATTGAGAAGAAAGCTAACAACTGAAGGAAATGCAGGGAGAGACCATCAATGGAAGAATTTATGTTTGTGAACATTTACTTTTTTTAAGAATTTGTTTTTATAAACATTTGATTTTATAAAAATTCACTTATGTGATCCAATACAAAGATTCATATCAAATAGAAAAAGTGCACCTCACTTTGCAGTTATGATAAAAACCATAAAGGCCTGCCTTAAGAAGGGAAAATATGTTTCTCATTTTCCTTAGAAAATTCATGGAATCATAAGCTTGTAGGACTTAACATGGACTCTAGAGATTATCAGTGCTAGGGTAGTAAGCTGAGGCACAGAAAATATACATGATTTTTCCAAGGACAGGTTGTTTATTACCACTGAATGTCTCCAACTGGTATAATTTTCTTTTTATTAGAGTGGCAAATCATAATTTTGGTTAATTCACCTAAAGAATGACAGAGTAGGTTTAGTCAGCAAGAATAATGTGGAAATAATAAATTTTCCTATATTTATCTCTGGAATCCTGGAGAATAAAGGATGAAGAGAAATTACTAAAGCACCTAGAAATCCTGCCATCAGAAACACTGTATTTTATTCTCTTTTGTTGCATCTCTTGGTATTTTCCCCTCATCGTTTTTTCTCCATCTAGTTTATGTTTTTCAATAAAAAGACAGCCACTAGAGAAACAAGTGTCTGGGAAAGAAGCAAATTGATCTTATTCTACAGTTTCAGAGGACTCTGGTGAGGTGAGTCTTCTTTGAAGGCATCACCTCTGACCTCTCAGTGACTTGGAAAAGGATGGTGACATTTTACCTTCCTGGGAACATGATATTCTGCTTTACTTCTCTGTACTGACAGTTCCACTAAAAGGTCACCCCAAACACCAACCTGTGGCAACTCAAGTGTTTAATCCAAGGTCAGATAACCCGCTGAAAAGATGACTGTGAAACAGAAGGAAAAAAAAATAGCTCAGTGACCAATGAAGTGATGAGGAAAGTAACAGAGAATTGAAGAAAATACACCTGTGTAGCTGAGACTTGTAGCTGTACTGTTTCTAAACTATGGTGTTTTATCTACAAAGTCAGTTCAGCAGTATTATTATCCCTTTAAAAAGATGAGGGGAAAAGGGGGTCAATCATATGGTGGTGGAGGGAGATTACACTGTGTGTAGTAAGCACACAATGCAATATAAAGATGTGTTTTAGAATTACACACAAGAAATTTATATACTCTATTAACCAATGTCATATCAATAAACTTAATAAAATTTTAAGAGATGAGTATAATGCTGCATCACTTAAAGTATTGAGATAAAATGTTCACTTCCTGCTATTATTTAAAATTCAATAAGTATCTATATATCCTATATAATGAAACCCTAATATGCAAATTGACTGAATGGCAGAACAACCGGTCACTAGGATGCACACTGATCACCAGGGGGCAGACGCTCAATGCAGGAGCTGCCCCCCTGGTGGTCAGTGCACTGCTCATCCAGAAGCCAGCTCCTAGCTGGTGGGCACAGCTGTGGTGGCAGGAGCCTCTCCCACCTCCACTCCATGCCAGCCATAAGGAGCGAGGAGTCCAGGTCTGCAAGAGCCCCATACTGCGAGAGGGGTGTCTGACTGCTGGCTTAAGCCTGATCCGGCTGGCAGGTGGTCATCCCACAAGGGGTCCTGGACTGTGAGAGGGCATAGGCCAGGCTGAGGAGACTCCCACCCCCTGTGCATGAATGCTATGCACAGGGCCTCTAATATATATATTAGCCTAAGCATCCAAATGACCAAACAACCAGTCAACCAGTGGCTATGACACATACTAACCACCAGGGGCAGACATTCAATGCAGGAGCTGCTCCCTGGGGGTCAGTGCGCTCCCACAGTGGGAGCGCCACTCAACTGACCAACAGGCGCCAGATGCCAGGCTCACAGCTGGCAAGTACAGCTGCAGCAGTGCAAGCCTCTCCCTCATCCCCAGCAGCAGGGGCAGGCAGGTACAGCAGAGCTGGGATGAGCGGGAGCGGCCACCTGCCTCTTCTCGCACTACTTCATCCCTCAGAGGGTTTTAACTGGATGACATATAGTCCAGCTGAAGAATACTCCAGTTTCCAGAATCTCTTCAGTGAGAATTGGATCTAAATTCCAGCCAGGAACCAATACAGGATAAAATGAGCAATAAAATGTGAGTTTCCTTCCGAAGAACTCATGACTCATCAGAGCTATTGCGTAAATCCTGGCAACATACTGACATATGGAAGAAGGCTTTCCACACCTTCTATTCCAGTGATTCTCATCTTAGAGTTTGGCTGCATCTTAGAATCACCTGGAAAGTCTTATTTGTTAATGAAAACCCATCTCTGCCCAAGGCTAAAGGCTAGTGGAATCAGAATCTCTGGAGATAGCTCCTGGACTTAGGGAGGTCTAAAATCTCCCAAAGTGGCTTCAATGTGAAGCTAATATTGAGAAGCACAGATCTAGACAAGCTTTCCATTTTGTGAATAAGAAAAATGACACCCGTTTGGCAAGGAGATTTAAGAGTTCCGTCCATGTGTGTACTCCTCAGAACTCCAGGAAACAATTTATTAAGTTGTAAATTAAATTATCTCTCAAGAAAGCTCAAGCTCAAGATGTTTTACATTTTTCCTTAAATTCCGCCAATGGAATCTGCACGGTAGGCATAAGAAAGTGAACAGAGTGCTAACCCTGAAATAAAAAGACTCAAGTTTGAATCTCTGCCCCTTTCTCATTATCATCATCACATAAATGCCCTAAATTTTTCACTTGCACAAAAGGAATAATGATCATATTTAATCTCGTAGGTTTCAGGTCCCCCTTAAATAAAATACATAGAAGTGTGCAGAAAACTCTGAAAGTGCTCCATCAAAGTAAAGAGTTTTGTTATTTGCTTCTCTTCAACTGAGAATGTACCTACCTTCTCACTGGGCTCACACCATCAGCCACCTGGATCTCACCATTCACCTAGTGCCATAGTCAGCAAGTTGCGGCTCACGAGCCACATGTGGCTCTTTGGCCCCTTGAATGTGGCTCTTCCACAAAATACCACGGCTTGGCGAGTCTATTTTGCAGAACTGGTGCTAGAAGAAGCTTAAGTTTTAAAAATTTGGCTCTCAAAAGAAACTGCAGTCATTGTACTGTTGATATTTGGCTCTGTTGACTAATGAGTTTGCCAACCACTGACCTAGTATGTTGGCCTTCCCATGCATCAGCTATATTATCTATTCTAATATTTTGAAATATAGTTTATCCTTTTGAGTCACAGTTTTGCAGAAGCAAAGCAAGGCTTTGAATGTTGTCATACTCCATTCCAGTCCACTCCTTCCCAATGCACTGGATTCTGCCACAGTCATCTTCCTGGAAGCCATGATGATGCGAAAGCATTCTAAGGACAGATACTTGCAACTTGCTTGCCCTCCTATTAATAAGTTATTTTTATGCTGTTCAATGAATTCAGTGAAGAAAATAGACAATTACTTTTTGGAGAAAAATCACTATTTTTGTTACTTAAATGTTTCACATTTAAATTGGTGTTATAGTCAAGACCCTAGAACAGAATCTGTCTAAATAATGACTGCATGTGATGAAACTCCTTTTTACTGAGCAGAGTCCTTTATTTGAATTAGAAGAAGT